ACCCCACACTACCCCACCCCACTCCGCCCCACACCACCCTCCCAAAACACCTCAATCTCACATACACACGGAGGCCAGACTGTCATGAGGTGGTCTGAGGAAGTTCATCGCGAGCCTACTCACCACTTGTACGTGATGACGGCCTCGACCGCCGGCACCGTGAAGATGGACGGGTCACCGGACACCTGCGGCCAGGTGACGCCCGGGTGTGTTGGTCGGGGTTGGTCAAGGAGGGAGGCCATCAGCGGGCTCGCCGCGTGTGTCAGGGTTCTGGGGTGGCGGGGCCTCTCTGGCAGCCCCCACTCTGCTGAAAGTCGCGCCGAGGCGCCGGCGCCTTGCGGCCCGGCCGCTCCCACGCGCCGCCCCGCGCGCCGCAGCGCATCAAGGCGGTGGGCGCCCCATCAGCGGGCTCCTTGCGCCGCCGCGGCGCGTGTGCGTGGCAAATGCACACGCCAGTCCACTCCTGCCCACACAGAAGCATGTACACACACACACACAATTACACACACGTCCACACACACACACACACACACACACATACACACACGCGCGCGCGCGCGCATGCCGCGCTATCTCACTTGGTACCGCGACAGCGCCAGATTGACCAGCCCCACTGGCCCAGGCTTGGCCGCATCCTCAACTGCCACCACACGCGCCAACACCTCCACGTCCGCTGTCCAGACTGGGTTGTGTATGTGTTTATATGAGGGTGTTGAGGGGGTATTGAGGATGGGTTTGATGTGTGCGTGTGCGACTGCGTGGGCCCGTGTGTTTCATGGCACGGAATATGGATGCGGTTAGTCTCTGCCTCATGGATTGCACGGCTGCTCCACCATCTTTTCCTGTTGGGCAAGTCCCTCACTCCACACGAGGGGTTTTGTGAGCGCAACCCCCTCCAAGCGGTTTCGTGATCAGTGCACTACCTGCGACCCTGCGGCGCCCCGCTGCGTCCGGCGCCGCGACCCTCCCGCCTCAACACACAGCAGAACGAGCCCGCGGGAAGCATCCCGCTCGCGTCCGCTGGGCAGCCCCCCGCCTCACCCTGCTTCTGATTCCCCCGGCAGTCCGCGCGCGGGGCCGGCAGGCGCGCCGCCCAGAAGCGGCGCCAGTCGAACGGCCCCGATTGCGGGTCGGGGGCGGCGGCGGTGAGCAGGTCATCATCATCAGTGCCCAGGGCCGCTTTGAATGCCGCGTCCTGTTTAGTCATTCGCGCATAGGTCGGCAGTGTTAGCTAACCATGCAAACGAGCGAGTGTGTAACATTGTGCGTGTGTGTACATATACAAGTGCAGCAGCGGCTGCGGCAGCGGGGGCGATGGCGTCGCGGGCTGTTAAGGGCTGCTGCAAAAGCAGACAGGCCCAAGCGTGGCGGAACGCACGGCAAGCGATCGAGGCGGCCTCAGCTGACGAGCATCAGCGCCGCCGCCGCAGGCAAGGCACCGCGGCACGCGTCCTCAGAGCACGGCGGTTCGGCGCCCCTTCCCCCTGCATGCGCGCCGCCCGAGAGAAAGCGGCGCCCGCATGCGCTGTACGGGCTCGTCCTGAGCCGCGTCGCGGCTGCTGGCGCCCGGTTGGATACGAGAGGGGACAGAGCAGAGCATCAACCCTACCTTGACCGTCATGCTGCCCAGTGTCACCACGCCGTGCTGCTCCAGAATATCTATGGCCTGCCCGGGCTCGACTGCCAGCAGGGACGCGACGGACACGCGGGGCCGCCCCGCCTCTGCTGCGTCCGGCACACCGAGCGCGGCGCTCTCGGCGTCGCCCGCCCCCGGGTCGTCCGGGGGCAGCAGCGGCTGAGCGCCTTCCGTCATAATGGAGCGAAGTGAGTGGGACGTGGATCGCTTGTGAGGAAACTTGGCACTCTGACAAGCTGCCGTGCGCGGTGAGTACTGACGAGTGCGCGGAGAAGCGCGTGGAGCACGAGTTCGCCTCTGCCGTACTCAAAGTGTTTTGCCCGTCCGAGTCACGCGCCTCATGACGCGCAGCTCGCTGCCGGCAGATCACCCTGATCATGCAAGCAACGGGGCCGCCTCACCGCCCATGGCTTGGCACTTGAAATGACCAACACGTCTTCGCGCTTACGGTATGGCTGCCTATGTCTGGGCCCTGTAGAGCCCAATGGGGCCATTGCCAGTCAAGCACTGGTCAACCAACACGGCTGTTGGTTCGTTGATGGCCCTGCTGATGCCGCCAGACCCTGTGTGCATAAAGCACACCAACCCACTCATAACACCACTTTGACACCATATCAGGCAGTTTATCACCACGCATCGGCGCCGGCAGGCACCGCGGAGCCTGCGTAGGCATGCCGTGTCACTGGCTATCAGCCAGTTGCCCAGCCACCCAAACAATTTTGTATAGCTCAGGCACAAGCAGCAGGGTCAGCATGCTTGTTGAACATGTAGGCTCGGTGCACAAGCTGTATTCATGCGCGTGTTGCACATGTCTGCCTTGCCCGTCGCAGTGCTGGTCGTTGCACAGTAACTATTTGGGGCGGTTTCTAGTCCTCCCACATTGGCAATCTAAGCTTCACCGCCAACTGTTGCTTGGCTGCTAACGGCTGCCTCAGATACTCCGTAACAGCAGGGCAAGGGACCTTACACAACGTGTGGTTGATGGTTCGGCAGCCAGAGCCACAGCCACAGCCAAACCCACAACCAACTTGCTGCTTGAAGCAGCAAAGGGCACAGTAGACGCGGCACAACACCGCCCATCACACCCAACACAGCACACAAACAAACATGGATGAGCAGCTGATGGGCTTGTGGACACTGCGTTGCTTCAAAATGTACAAGGCAAGAACACCTGCAGTACATGCTGTGATGTTGATGGGCCGGTTCAAGATATCACTGCGTTTATCACACAGGCTGGATGGCTGCAGAAGCTTGCACCCACAGCCGGCAAGACAAGCACAGACAAAGCGGAGCACTGCAGAGCAGAGCAGCTGGCTGCGCGCGTGCTCAGCAGCATGTGGTAGACCAAACCAGGATTGACCGTGTACGGCGCGTCAGGGGACCGCGAAATTTGCATCGCCCTACAGACACAACAGCATGCACAACACGCAGCGGGCTGCAGCAGCCGCTGCGTGTGGTGCATAACATTCTAGCACGCACCAAGATGACTTGGCGTTTGCTCGTGCAGATTGTCATGTCATTGATGAAGCATCTGTCCGGTGAGATTTTGATGCCTGCAGTTGCAGCAAGCACGGGCGCATGCGCGACACGCGGCGTCGCTGGAGGGTGCGCCCAGCCGCCCCCAAAGCGTCATGCCAGCAATACAGTGCTCCTGACCCGCGGCCGCGCGGCGGGCGGTTCACCGGCGGCGAAGTCCTCTTCTGCCCTCGGCCGCTTGC